GAAGTTGTATCGCGATATATCGAGTTTTCAAAATATATTGCAATATACCGATATACCGGTATATCGTTACACCCCTAGTGCGTAGCATATTATATTTTACATAGACATAAATAAATATGGCCCTAGTAGTAGTACTAGTACTACTAGTGTAGTAGTAGTAGTAGTAGTAGTAGTAGTAGTAGTAGTAGTAGTAGTATTACTATTACTTAGTAATGCCCTAATGAGTAATGGCTAATGCCGGCAATGCAAAAAGACACGTCTCAGACTCAATGAATGCGGACCAGCCGCATACTCTACAACACCCTTGTAGTTGCATCGACCACGTTTAGTTTTTACCAACAATAGGTGTTGCATGGAATATGGTAACCGAGATCTACAACAATGAGACCGTCACATAAAAAGTAACATAATGTCAATGATTGACGGCAATGCAGACCGACCGGCGAACTGTAACCCGATGGATTGTACGGTACCGATGGAATTTACGATGGAATTTACCACTTTTCAGTTAATCTATCCGTAGTACAACGAAGACAGACATTCATGTTACGCCTTAAATATACATCTGTAGATATTACTAAAGTAAAAACTCACTTATATTGCGACTGCTATCACGGTGAAATGATCAAAATTATGATGTTAACAGTTACCTTATTTCACTCTATTTTCGCCACGTCCCTTGATGTTCATTAGCGCCACCGTGCGGCAATATTATTGTACAATATACGTATTGTTCTATTATTTACTGTTTTTTTTAAATAATGTTCCACAGTTCCAAGCCAGATAAATTAAATGTCTTAAATGTGAAATACACACGACGGTTTTAAAAACACGCAATTTTTGAACGGTTAAAAAGAATAAAGCCGGTCTACTGTCAGTATGGACTGAAGAACACTGCATAATATAGCTTGCGATTTATTTATTTTTTTATTTATTTATTTATAGGCAATTATCCATCATATACAATATACATTGCATACTTTTACAATAAAAAATTTGAATTCATAAAATTGGATAATTACCAAGGATATATACACAAAAAGCATGACTAGCACACTTATTTACATTGTGGTCCTTGTTTTGCTATGCCTTGAATCTAAAAATTGCACTACTATCAGAACTAACTATTGAAATATACAGATTTGTAGTTTAATTTTAATCGGTCATACAATGGTACATTTTCATAAGACGATACAAACATTTCTTATGCCTAATTTCAACCGAATTCTTTTAGTGAAAATCATACTCCTCTGCCTCTAATGATTCTACCTTTTCCATCAGACATTTCTTAACACTATACTTAAAACTAGAATAAACAGAATTTGTCCTAACTTGCTGTGGTAGAGAGTTCCAAGCTTCAATTGCAGTATTTAGTAAAAGAGTTTTTCCCACTGCTTCCCACCCTCGGTTTAAAAATAGACATCTCACCTTCCCTTGTATTGAAACTATGGACTTCTGACGTTAACATGAAACCTTCTGTCATATACTGTGGGCCGAGATTATGTAATATTTTAAAAACCCTATTGACCTTCAGTTGCATTACCCTGAAATTTACAGCCTTGAACTCTCTAGCACCGATGTGTGCTCTAGAACCTAGGTTGAGAACACATCTAATGGCTTTATTTTGACACACTTGCAGCTTAGCCCTTGTGCGCTTTGTGAGACGAGAGAAAGAGGGTTGGAAGACTGAGGAAAGGTGGCAGGGAAAAAAGCTGAGCGAAGTAAAAAAGAAAGAGGCTGAGCGAGGAACAGATGGGGAGGCAAGGGAAGGACAGGAGGGGATGAATTAGTAGTTTTGCTTCCCACCGGCTAGGGCGCTCTCCCAATCATAAACACAGGTCTACTGATAAAAATTTATTTCATAAATCTATGCGGAGATATCCCCTAACAATTTTAAATGCATATCCATCGCAAAATATAACTCCTCTGGTGAGATATTGCACATGCGCTAACACATTAACGTAGCCTAATTGTGTACTGACTGGTATATGCAGCGGGCACCTTACATGCGAGGTCTTCTTCCTATTTCTCAAGAGAGGTATATACTTGTGAGATAATATCAGATAAATCTATGCTAGAATATCTCCTCCCTATTGTAAATGCATAATTTTTGCAAAATATTCGTCTTCTCGGGAGATATAAAGCATGCGTGAGCACCGTTTCAGGCGTGCAGTATGGACTGAAGAACACTGCATAATATAGCTTGCTAAGAGAGAAAGAGGGTTAGGAGACTGAGGAAAGGCGGCAGGGAAGAAATCTGAGGGCGGTAAAAAAAAATGAGGGTAAGCGAGGAACAGAGGGGGAAGCAAGAGAAGGACAGGAGAGGATGAATTAGTAGTTTTGCTTCCCACAGGCTAAGGCGCTCTCCCAATCATAAACACAGGTCTACTAATAACAATTTATTTCATAAATCTATGCTGAGATATCCTCTAACCATTTTAAATGCATATCCGTCGCAAAATATAACTCCTCTGGTGAGATATTGCGCATGCGCTAACACATTAACGTAGCCTAATTGTGTACTGACTGGTATATGCAGCGGGCACCTTACTTGCGATGTCTTCTTCCTATTTCTCAAGAGAGGTATACTGATAAAATATTATTAGATAAATCTATGCTAGAATACCCCCTCCCTATTCTAAATGCATAATTTTCGTAAAATATTATTTTTCTTGGAAGATATTGCGCATGCGCGAGCACCGATTCAGGCGTGCAGTATGGACTGAAGAACACTGCATAATGTAGCTTTCTATAAGAGAAAGAGGGTTGGGAGACTGAGGGAAGGCGGCAGGGAAAAAGCGGAGGGCGGTAAAAAAGAATGAGACTGAGCGAGGGACAGAGGGGGAGGCAAGGAAAAGACAGGAGGGGATGAATTAGTAGTTTTGCTTCCCACAGGCTAGGGCGCTCTCCCAATCATAAACACAGGTCTACTGATAACAATTTATTTCATAAATCTATGCTGAGATATCCCCTAACCATTTTAAATGCATATACATTACAAAATACAACTCCTCTGGTGAGATATTGCGCATGCGCTAACACACTAACGTAGCCAAATTATGTAATGACTGGTATATGCAGCGGGCACCTTACATGCGAGGTATTCTTCCTATTTCTCAAGAAAGGTATAGTTGTGAAATATTATCATATAAATCTATGCTAGAATACCTCCTCCCTATTCTAAATGCATGATTTATGAAAAATCATTTCTATGATTTTTAATTAGAAATTCTATTTTCTTAACATAATAGTTATATTACAGTTGTTTGAAGTTGTCATTATTGCAGTTAGGAATCGTTTATAGAAGGCTTGTTCGTATTGGAGGGTTCAGCTGTTGAACGGAAAGTCGCCACTCAACGTCACGTACCTTATATTGTCCGGGAGGTAGAACACTTCTAGTGTCTGCGGAATATTATAATATTATAATAATCATGTATCCGGGATCTTGTAATACTCTAGCGCACGCGCACACACGCACGTACGCACGCACGCACGCACGCACGCACGTACGCACGTACGCACGCACGCACGCACGCACGCATGCACACACACACACACACACACACACACAGTCACACGCACACACACTTAAAGCCTATTTACGCGATGCGTTTTGGACGTACGTCCTAGACGTACGCCAGACGCATACGTCCAAAACGCACCGTGTAAACTATGCGGTACGACACAATTTTATGACCGTTGCGATATGATGCACAGGACGCATGTTCTAATTTCATCCGACATCGTAAGTTACGCACACACACACGCGCACGCACACGCACACGCACATACACACACGCATGCGCGCACACACACACACACACACACACACACACA